CTGGCGTACTGTTTGCCGGGGTGGATAAACAGAAGCCCTGATCCGGCTCTGTGGTTCCTGTAATGTTAGACTGAAAGCGGAGAGCTTCTGATGTGACCAGAGATGCCTCACTCGGTCAGTTTGTGTGTTTGGGTCTGTGTGTGTGTTTAAGAGCACGCCCCGACCAAATGCAATTAGTGTGAACCCACTTAAGACACACGTTGCCACTAATACACCCTCAGAGACAATAAAACCTTTCTTAGGGGAGATTGATACCAGAGAAGAGACACTGGGACCAAAGGAAGGAAGATAATGATGATGTACTGAACTCTGGAGAGCCTCCTGAGATTCTGAACGCAAATGTCTGAAACCGTTATCAGACTAAAAATCCAGAGACTTAGCTGTGGAGTTTAACTGCAGTTTGCCTTTTCACACACGCATAACACTTAGGCGTTCACAACAGCAACTGAATCCTCCGCATTATTCAGGCCAGAGGTAGAGAAGAGGTGTGATGCGTTAAGTCACCTGAGATTTCGTTGTGTTGTTGTGAAGGCGTCTGAAGTGTTTTTGCGTCTGAAGTGTTTTTCCTGCTGCGTTGTGAATGTGTGAAAGGAAACCTCTGGAGAAAGTCTGCATCCTGTTCTCCCTACAGACTTCATGTCTGAAAACAGCTTCCGAAGGCAACTGCAAAGAAATCATGGATGATAATGATGGGTAAAGAAAATCACTAACCCTCTTTGTGATCCTTCAGGAGTACAATCAGTGACTACATGTACACGTGTTAGTCAGGCCATGTTCTTTACATCTGTCTCTGATCATCAGGTTTCTTCCAATCCAGACCTCCAGCTGATTATTCCGACACACTGAAGTAGAACAAGGCAAACAGAGAGCAGTGTATTGATCGTCACTGTGACCTTTCCTTTGCCACTGGTTCAGTGACGTGGGGGGTTGACCATCTTTAAGATTAAAGACTGGAACGCTGCCCTGCTCAAATCACACTGCTGTAATGTAACTAATAATGAAATTGATGAAGATGATGATTATTATTATTATTTATTTAGTACTGACAGTATCTCAACAAGGTTACAAAGCACTTTACAAAATACATATGGTTAAAAACACAGTACAAGACATAAAACTGAATATTAAGTGATAGATAAATAGACAGATAGCCAGAGAGACAGATAGATAGATAGATAGATAGATAGATAGATAGATAGATAGATGAATAGACCATATACAGTGAGTTTATTTGTCCCAGTAACATCAGCTTTTGTCAATTTAAGTTAGGGTGGCGGCATGGTGGTGCCGTGGTTAGCACTGTCGCCTCACAGCTAGAAGGGTGTGGGTTTGAATCTGTGTTGAGTTTGCACGTTCTCCCCGTGTCTGCGTGAGTTTTCTCCAGCTTCCTCCCACACCCTGTGATTCACTGGCGACATGCCTCTTGCCCCTGCGACCCTCAAAGGAGAAGCGTTATAGAGAAAATGTGCACACTTCAGAAACACACACATTAGACACTGAGGGTGGAGGAGGAGGTGGAGATCACACTGTGAAACCACTTCAGGAGTCTGGAGCTGGTATAGAGATGGATGGATGGAGAAGGAGAGAGAAGAGGGGTCTGTGGTTGAGGCGTGTGCCAATAGTGGCGGTCGCAGATCTATATTTGAAGCAGATCATAAAAGCCAGTCAATCCCTGTCAGTGAAGTGGTGGAGAGAAAATAAAAGGGGGATGTGGAACAGGGAGGTAACAGGGGCGACAGGGGAAAAGACATTATTGGCAGTTAGGAGTTGTAAAAGACATCTGTTGAAGGGGTGGGTAACCATGTGAAGCCACGCAGTCCAGATGGGACAAACTCAGGTAGGAGGGTGTGTTGATGTCAGTGATGAAAATGAGAGATAAACATATTATAGGAACGAGAAGAAAGTCCAAAAAGTGCACGTTGGGAGCACTTATAAGTGATTATAACCCTTCACGGAGAAAAGGCCCATTGGGGAATGGCAGCAATTACGTGTCAGGGACGGAGCTCCTGGACCTCTTTCGGCTGAGCAGACACAATTGCGATCACACAGCCTACACACAGATAGCATGTGGAGAGCAGAGGAGGATCAGAGCCCTTAAAAACACACACACACACACACACACACACCATGCACACGATGGGCCTGCCAGCAGGAGAAAACCCACAAAGCATAGTAACCTTTGCAGAGGGAAAAAATGGTATTCCAAGTGTGTGGGATTGTTGCAAGATACACACACACACACACACACACACACACACACGTTCCCAGTTGTGGTACTGCATTAGCTGTAATACTTATTAAGAGCCCAGTGAAGCAGACATGCATCCATGAGGTTCATAACCTGCCTGGGCGTTGATAACGTTCTGCTTTACCTCAACTGCTGTCAAAGTGTCTTTTTAGGGAAACGTTCCAGAGAAGTTGTTTATAAATGATTCTGCATGAGGCACTTTTTTCTTCTTGTGGATCAGCAAAACCTCTCCTGGGTAAATAAAGAGGAGGAAATGATTTGCTTATCAAGCCTCATTCATAATAACTGTCAGTCGTGGAGTGTAATTAATTCCCTCAGCTATTGAGAGTGTTTGCTGCATGAAAGCTGAGAGTGAAAATAAATGTGTAGTGGATCCTGATGTGATCAGCCCTCAGATGATCAGACTGGGAAGCTGCTCCTCAGCTTCAGTCATGCAAAACCACCTCAAATGGGATTTTATATTGTAGTGAATTATCTCCTCCCTGGGGCTGAGATGAAGGGACGTCTGCTCACAACCTACACTGGATCCAGATCAGAGATCAGACCGCTGGTGATGTGATGTGTGGTGCAGATGATCGCACCACTGAGTCAGCCAGTTTGGAAACCAGAAGCCAAAGACCCCCGGATCCCCCCTGCCTCCATGCTCCGCCATACTCTGTCGAGTTTCCCTTTAATCCTCCACGACCCCCATGCATGCCAGACATACAAAAGCCACCACCACCGACTCCCCCCTCACCGCCGGGGGAAACCGTCTCCTCTCTTGCAAAGTATATCGTCAGTGCTCACCACACCTCCGTCTCTAATTTAACCAGAAACCTCATGCGTGGTGCCAAAGCCCTGCCTCAAGTAACCTCCAGTGCTGCAGCCTCTTTCACATTCAGTGTCGACGTTACCTTGCAATCAGGCCGCAGTCACGGTTCTCAAGAGGAGGAGGATGGAAATCAAATAACTGCACATTATGATCAGACGTCATTTGGGTTTCCGTGGATGAAGCCAATTCAAACTGACATGCCATGTTTAAGGTTTAACAGAGAGGGAGAAAAAAAGGAAATGACACACACGCTCATTGGCACATTTCTGCTTCGACGATGTTCAAAAGCAACAAGAGTTTATGTCTCTTAGGTGCCACATGTTTTCACATTAAACCAACATGGCTCTTATCTTAACAAAGCATGTCCAAGTTGGGTTTGTCTTGCTTCTTCAGAGCAAATGATGCCTGTTCTCCTCCCATCCTCCGTATAGTCACAACAGATTGAATCAATGCGTGCACAAAACCAAACAACTCAATTTAAATCTGATAACTCTACCTCGTGATGCATCATGTGTAAGAAATAATCGGATTTCATGTGTTATATCTTCAGCGCGGGATCACGTGAGGGAGTCGTATTTATCGTCGCCATCTCATTCATGTTTTGTGGTTACATGCTCCTCTGTTTCCGCTGGTCCGGTAACTGTAAGCAGCCGTGCAATCTGATGGGATCCCCACCAGTGATTCAGACGTCCATTCATCATTCATAAGACACATATTGTTTGCATGTGTTCAAACACTTTCCCTTTCCTTCTCACTTTTCTCCCAGAGACAGAGCGAGTCTGGGAAAAATAAAATGGCCTCACATACACAATTTAAATGCAAAGAATTTAAATGAATCTATATTAGTCTTTTAATTCTACTTGCTAACACTTGGTTTTTCTGAACCGAGCTTTTATCATTTAAAATAACCAAAACAATTAAAATACTTTTCTTAATACGGAATTTTTTCCTTGCAAATGTGCAGAAGGTGCATTTTATTTGAAATGAAACAGCACTTGATTTGTATTATTATGTTAATGAGACACAACAAAGCATTGGATGCTTCAATCTAAACGCCGCTCATTCACTTTGAATGGGGTGACGTCATGAGTTTCAGATTAGCATCTTCCAGTCAAATTATATTTTAAAATAGTTCAGCACCGAGCATCAAGAACACTCTCCGTCAAGTGTTAACGCAACTCATACCCGTGAGTCCAGCCTATGTGCTCTCACTTCACTGAAAACTCAATAAACAAGTGATTTCAATGCAACAACTGAACCTTACTTGGTTTTTCATACTTTTATAAACCATCTTATTATATATTTTACAGTGCAGGTACATTAATGACCTCTCTATGTAGAGGGAAAAGACAGGAGATAGAAACTTATGACACACACGGAAAAGATCGACTTTAATCAACATTTATTAGTCACCAACATCATTTCCAGGATTTTAATTTCACCAGTCGCCTCGCTGTATATTCTGCTCAGAAGTGACTCGTCCCTTTTATCAGAGATCGTAACATTAAGTGGAGATGATACTTCAGTTGTTATCAGACCATTGAATTAACAACATAATAAAAAAACAGAGAACGTACAGAACCGATTAGTAAAACTGCTCTAAACGTACAGTTCACTCCTCAGCGTGTCTAATGAAAAGGAATGTAAGCGTTTATATATTGAGAGGACAACACAAGAGATGAACCCTCCAGTGAAATAAAATACAAAGTACTGTAAGTGAATGGTTTTGGCTGATGATGATCCACGTGGCCGAAGGCCGATGTTCCTGTTTGCCTGAACCAGGAGTGACATCAAGTGGTCAAAATAGAGAAATACAGCGTCTCTGTTCCAAACCTGCAGGGGAATTTCAAGCAGTTCGTTCTTTTCCTTTACAGACCTGTTAAAACACACTGGATCCATTTAACACACGTACGTTTACAGACAAAGGAAAATGGCCAATAATTGGTGTCAAATGGTTTATTGTGACTTATCTTCCCACAAGAGTACAAGTCCTGTAAGAATCAAAGACTCACATCAAACTTTAAATATTCCACTTTTTATTGCTTCAATTTAATTCCCTGTTTTTTTCCCTTAATTTTTACACAAACCCAAAATTAGACATGGTAACAGACTCATGTCGCATAGTTGAACTGATTGGATGACTTATTATCATATAAAGATAAATGTCTGAGTCTTGCAAAGAAAAAGGCAAAACATTTGTCATTTGTTCTAATAGGATTTTAAAAATACATACATTTGGAATGAGTCATAACACAACATTAAACACAGACTTTTACCATTTGTGCAATTATTATGATAAAAAGAAAAATGCCCTGCATATCTTCTTCTGTTCATCCCCAGCTCTCAACCTGTTTTAGTAGATGGCTGCTTTTAAAGACCCTTTCATCGCTCTGTGGTTTACTTACTTCACAGTTTATAATATAATTCTTAAACATTCTACCTTGTTCAGATATGTATGCAATATGAAATAATTATATTTATTTTTACGCCACCTTAATGTGGATATTTAAAATGGATCACAATTGTAGATTTGCTTGAAACTCAACATCGTAAACAAGCCTGCGTCACATTGTGTAGTTTCCTTTTAGACACATGAACTGCAAATCTTATCACACTGCAAACCTCAATGAGGAAACGTGAAATCATTGTGAATATATTATTATTGTTACACTCAGGATATTTTGAAGTACAAATAAGGCTCATACACTACTCATAGTTCAGAAAATATCATGAACTGCCCTTAATAATCCTAAAAGTACTTCACCAAAGTGCTTAATAATCCTATTCATGCTACCATCCTGATGTGCGTCTCATCAACAATGTTCTCGTTAGAAAAAGAAAACTGCTACAGTCCCTGTTTGGCTACAACTTCCTGTTGTATCTGCACAATATTTAAGTTTAAGAGATGAATCTGTAACCTGCATTATTCACACACAAACCTGAAATCAAGAGTCAGTGAGGTCATTTTGGAAAACAAAGCTTTGTCTAAAGGGCTGAGAGTAAAACAAACAAAGTGCTGTTCAGATTTTGGTGGTCCGTGAGGTTCAGCTGAGAAGCGGAGTGTTGTCGTTCTGATCTTCAGAATACGTGTCAGGCTCTTTGACCTCTTTCACTTCTTTGACCTCTTTGGAAACATCCACTCCGACCACAGCCACCACTCTGTAACATGGAAATACAGGATATAAAAACATGGCATGTTTGTCTCTGCTGATTCCAATTAAACCTGACAACTGTTGAGACATTTCCAACACACACGGATTAATCTCATCTAGTAAAGTCAACAGAGTTACATCAAGACATAAGCCCCAACCAGAACATTGGAACTAAAATGACACTCACCAGAGCGCATATATCCTCAAAGGCCCAACAGTCTATGCAAATTCAAAATGCATCAACTTACAACATTAAAGAAAGTGAAAAACAATCCTGAAGCTGTCCCTTCGTCCAAATCTGTTATTCTTGGCCTATTTTCAATCCTTCCACCGAATTCAATCAGTGGTTTCACTGTTCATGAAAAAATAACCTCGCTGGTGGAGGTAATAACATGTGACTTAAACTGCACAGGAGAACAAATCATTACTGTGTTATTTAAGTAACAAACAGGATTTTACTTGCAAAGTTTGACATAAACAGTAAAGAATGGAGGATAATTATGTGAGGCCCAGTCCGGCCTGAGGCTGCTGAACCAGTGGCTTTGTAATTCTGTCACCACTTGTCATGAAACAGACGAGGCGGTGCATGTGACAGAGGCAGATTCAGTCATGTAAACAAACCCAGACTGACTCAGCAGTTTTACTTTCAAGTGCAACTAATCGAGGGAGAGAACACAGCGTGCAACAAGTAAATATCCTTTTACCGTCTTTCTTGTTTTGTTTCATGACCAAACATCGATATAGGTGGTGTGTACGTCCAGATGCAAAGTTTATGACATGATGTACATGTCAAAGACTGAAGTCACCAGATTAATGGGGAGGGAAGTTACACATGATGAATGCAGGAATGAGGAAGTAAGAGGTTCTTTTGGTTTCCTCGTACTTAAATCAAACCAAGCATTTCTCTTTTCTTGTGAAGCAGAACCAGCAAACTCTGATTCAGAGCTCTTGTCACTCTAACTTGACAGACATGAGGAAATATTCTCACTTCACATTAGTTCATGTTACGTTTCTACATGATTCTACATGTGAACATGATAATTCTGTAGGCGGGGGGCAGAAGCTTCTGGTTTCTGTGTCTAGTTTGAACAATTATGTTTGAGCAGGCTGCGGTTGCCCTCAGGTAATGATAAGAGAAACTAGTCGGACTGATGACAGCGTAAAGAGTCTTGGCCTGGATATCTGCCGTCTACACTGAGAGCCTCATTATATTGGCCGTTGCTCTTTGGGCTCCAAGATTCAATGTTGACTGACAGTAAAAACACCAACAGGTTCAACTCAATGTGGTTCTATGAATACAGGGAAGTTTGAAAATGATGATGAGATTGATTCCTTCTTGAGAGGTTTTGCAACTTGGCCAAAGACAATGACCGAATTGTGATGACTTCACCCAGAAGGTACGATGGGAACATGACTTTGCAAATTTGCAGTTTGATTGTGTAATATTTCATTATTTGCTGGTGTGATCCTTTAATGTTGTGTAATGAACTTACCCAAGCACAGACAAAGGAATAACACAGAGTCCTGCAGACAACAGGAAGATGAAGCCAGGGAACCACACCACTGTAGCTGCATAGACACTGTTGAAGACCGCGGATGATACGTTGTTGGTCAAATTCTCCAGAAAGGAGAGAAACGCAAACAAGGCCCCTGTGAGAAAAAGACCCAGGAGATAAGAAAAACTACCTCAAAGAAGTCACAGGGTGAAAAACAATGTGCAATGGCTTAAATCCACTAGTACATTTTCAAGATAACACTTTGCTCTAAAAAAAACAGAAACTGTAAGTGTTTTTAAAGGAACTTTAGACTCTGGAGAACACACACACACACACACACACAC